GCATGTAAACCCCACCCCCGTCAACAAAACCGAAAAATCAGTCCGGATGTTTTTTATGAGCACTGAAAACATTAAAATGAGCACCACATCCAAGTGTGATAGGGCTCATTTGAGTAACCTACCAAACATTTTACAGTGTAGATACTCTGTAAGAACCAGATCAAAATTGTTGTGCATTGAATGTGCACTCCTGCAATTTCCATGTTACAAAAAAACAATTGTTCAATTAGTCGTTAGATTAGTCGACTAATCGATAAAATAATCGACAGACTAATCGTTTAATTAATAATCGTTTACCCCAGCCCTATGGTTCATACTGAGATTTATGACTGCAGCTTGTCCGCACGCTCACCCACAGCAGTTTGACTCCATCCGTCAGCCAGAACAATTCTGAAGCTCATCAATTTCAATCTGGATAGATCTCCAGCATCAAATTTAATACATTATGTGAGTTCGATAATGCAGAGACTCCAACTTCACATTAACATGGACCTAATGATACTGATGCATTATTCTCAAATTTAGCGAGTACACAAACAATATGAAGGGAGGAAGTCATCAGTGTTTGAATTGACGAGGCTTCTATTATGTGCTGATGGCTGATGCACAAGTTAAGGGCTTTAACACCATGTTATCGTTGCAGCGCACAGTGTTTAACCCCAGGTTTTCGTTGTTCTAAAACTCACTTTTAACCTCGGGGTAAAGGAACGTTTCACACTTATTTAGAAGTGGGGTTAGCACCGCTATTACCCGGGTGTTATGAAACCCTGCTGCGACTGCAGACTGCGACTGCATTTTGCTACCTTTTTTCTTGCCGGTGCAACTAAATTTGTTAGAGGTCGCACTGGTGCGAACACCATGTTGCCCAACTTATAAGAGCTGCAATTTCACATATGAAAAACATCAAACGGCAAATGAAACGAAAGCGGAATGAAACTGCACTTCTTGTTTGAGCTGCGTAGCACGGACAGTTTATCAGCTCGGACCAATATTAAACAGCGCAGCGCCAGCTCAGAACAGGTTTACTTGCGGGCCGATCTTGAGCACGCAACACCGTTACTACACAGTGCTGAGAGATCCGGTGAGAAAGCGTTTGAATTTGCTGCATTATCAATAACATCGCTGCAAGATCTAGTGAGCAATATTAAAAAATGCAGAATTCAGATCAAACGGTGCAGACTTGGAAACTAGGAGAAACATTGTGCCATGAACTAACAAGTTCATAGAAGGCTTTTCAGTCCACAAATCACCAACATTCACCTTGGATTTAATGTAGCAATGGGAAATTCATTTCAGGGTTCGTACAACCTTTTGAGAGTGAAATTCAAGCACTTTTTTCAAGGACTTTCAAGTGTGATTGACACTTTCACACTTTCCGAATGATTTAAGTTATTTCCCGTGCTGTGGAACAAATCCAAGTGATGGCGCCGCATCGCGCGCTCACGCAACATAGTATCAGTTCACTTCTGGCTTTGCTAACTTGACATCGCAGCCTGTTCATTATCAAAATAAAACAGTCAACCAAACATATAAAAAGTTATTCTGCTTAATTGAATTGGTCTGTTGTACAATATAAAGGCTGTGCCACACAGTCATCACCTACTTGGTGTTATTCCAAACATTTCCCTTGCTGTGAAGATGCTGATTTAGCCTATACGTGTATATTGGGACTCGACTGAAGTATGAAGCCTTCTTTATATTAACTAGTACAATGCCCGTGCAAAATCAGTTGTGTGTTTTTAGTAATTGTTGGTTTGGTATGTTTGAGTTGCTGAGTAGCCTAGGCTACTATTACACAAGAGTAAAACGCACCAGCATAAAATATAATATTCAAAATTAAACAGTGTAGCTGACTTACAGATTCAGTTAAATAACTACTTTTTGTAATAAATGTATAATAAGACTGTAACAAATGTATAATTACATTTTTTACACTACTTTTTTCAAAAAGAATCTCTACTTTTTCGAAAGAGAATCGCTATTTTTTAAATGAATTGCTATTTTTTAAGAAAAGAATCGCTACTTTTTAAAAAGAATCACTACTTTTTTTTAAAAGAATGTAACAAAATAATAATGTAACAAATGTATAATAATAATAATGTAACAAATGTATAATAACACTGTAATAAATTTATATTTACATTGTAATTGTAACTGTCCGCTTGGAGTCATTTAAAAGGTCTTGATTTAATGAGTGTAAATGTATATTTGTGTATTTATAAAAGACGTTTTATTGGGATTGTGGTGTAGATATGAGCACATCACTCTGCGCAGGCACCAGTGACTTCCACCAGTGGGCAGTATAGTTTCTGCCACTAAGCTAAACTAACCCCTGTAAACCCTAGATAAACCCCGTGCTTACGAGTACAGCTATCGCAAACTCATAAAGTAAGAGCGAACTGACTGGAACACACAGTAAAGACGCCAAACTTAGGACGATAAGGAATAAAGGAGATTGCCGGGTTTTGGTTTAACGCCCTTGGGAAGTGGAACGAGGTACGTGTAGTTGTTTATATGTGGGTGCTGCGGGAGTGAAGTATTCATGTTTATTGTTGTAAGTTGTTTAAGCTATGTATTGACAAAGAGCCATTTTGCTTTGATATGTTAATTCGTGTGTGATTTAAAGGTTATGGTGTAGTGTATATAGATCTTAGTAGAAAGTGATGATTGTTTTAGTGGTGTATTTAATTAGGTTTGTTGTTTGAGTATGTTTGATTTAGCTAAGGAAATGTGTATAAAAGTACTTATGTTTGTATCGATTTGTATATTTTTATAGTTTTCACGGTGCATTACGGATATCAGAAAAGTAAATAAAGAAACTGTAAAGACATCAGTCGAGACTCTCTCCATTTTGCTTAACACCACCGGGGGCAGTTACAGTAATAAACGTATAATAACACTAATATATAATTACATTGCAATAAACGTATAATTACATTGTAATAAATGTATAATAAGACTGTAACAAATGTATAATTACATTTTAATAAACTTATAATTACATTGTAATAAATGTATAATAACACTGTAATAAATGTATAATAATACTGTAATAAATGTATAATTACATTGTAATAAATGTATAATAAAACTGTAAACAATGTATAATTACATTGTAATAAACGTATAATAACAACCTTGAAAAGAATCGCTACATTTCTCAAAAAGAATCGCTACTTTTTTTTTACTTCAGAAGTAAACAGTGTAGGTGACTAGCTGACAGAATGTTTATTTTTAAACCACAACTTCAATGTGTGCTGCTTTTACAGATATATTTAACGATATCTTTTGCATTTCTAATCCAAACAATGGAAAACTCTGCACTGCACTTACTCGTGCCCATAGCAAGACACCTGTCAAGTTTGAAATCCATCGGACTAACGGTTCGAGAGATATTCGACAGACAGACAGACAGAATCCAAATGTTACATTGCGAATATGGAAACTTTGGACCGCATGAGAGATGCGCGAACTCACCGTCGGTTTCAGTTTCCATTAAAATAAATTTGTTTAGGCTTGGCGTTTAAAATAGGCTAAATGTTGTTTGTAATAAAAGGCACAATAGGCTATTTTTATAGGCTAGGCTACTATGTATATATTTTTTTATTATACATGGCTACTTATTTTTCATTCTTGTTGTTTTCGGCATCCATTTAAGGATTTTTCATGCAGTAAGGGTAAGTAAAATACACATAGCCTACATGTTAATAGTGTTTATAATGTTAATGTTTTATTTTATTTACCGGCCTTTTACACTATTGCTGAATAGGCTAGTAATAAAATGCGTTTTTTACGACGATGACTTACGCGGAGGTAGGCTGCATGCGACTTATTTTCTGGCAAATACGTTTTGGATCGTTGTCCTGATGGAAGATCCAACCACGGCCCATTATAAGATTTCTAGCAGAAGGTGTCAGGTTTAGATTTTTTATCAGTTGATATTTGATAGAATATATTACAACATTAAAGATCCAACAGTATATTAAATTGTAAACATGGGGTACTTTTTATCCTTGTGTGCATCAAACCTATCTAGCATGTTTGCTGCCAAAAAGCTATTTTTTAAGTTTCATCAGAAGCCTGTGCCGTTTGAAGTTCCAGTCGTGTCTGAACACTGAATTTGCTGGAGTTTGTTTTTGGATGAGCGAGGAGGATTTTTCTTGAAACCCTCCCAAACAACATGTGGGGATGTAGGGGTTGTTTGATTATTATTATTTTTTTTGGAATGCTTCTGACCCCAAGACTCAAGTAATCTCTGCAATTCTCCATTTGTGACCCTTGGAGAGTCTTTGGCCAATCAAGCTCTCCTCGCCGTGCATTAAGGCAATATAGACACACGTCCTCTTCCAGGCAGATTCGTAACATCTTTAGTTGATCGGAACTTCTTAATTATTGCCCTGATGGTCAAAATGGGGATTTCCAATTCTTTTGCTATTTTCTTACAGCCACTTTCTATTTTGTGAAGCTCAACAATCTTTTGATGCACATCAGAACTATATCCTTTGGTTTTACTCATTGTGATGGATGATTAAGGGAATTTGGCCTTTGTGTTTCCTCATATTTAAACTCCAAAAAACATTTATTTCACAATGTGATTTTCCCCCCACTTTCAATTATTTTACTTCAATGAAAGGTTAGATTTCTGCTAATTTTTTTTAATGAAAGATCAAAAGGATAACCAATGCAGATTTATTTATTACAGATATTTTTGATCATATTTACCAGGGGTGCCATTCATTCTGACCACAACTGTATGTGTATTCAAATGCCTGAAACCTAAAACAAAGATGATGTGGTTGAAAACTGAATAGTTATCATATATGACAAGAGTTGAGTGCGTCAGGCTCTGGCTCAGCACCAGCCAAAGCGCGAAAGCACATTTGAATTCAGCAGTTGATCACGTGATGCACTGAACGTTCCAATCACACCGATCGTACGCTCCAGGGACCAGCCAAGACTGATCGCACTGATGGGAATTTAGTAAAAGCGGCACATCTTACCCCATTCTCCCTCTATGCCGTGTTTGAGAGCAGCCACTTCCACTCATCCATACGGGAGTCTGATCGTGGAGAGATTGTGGCCATCTGCCTATTAGTTCAGCCTGAGGACAAGAACAACAAAACAAAAAAGAAAAGAAAAAGAGTTAGTATTTAATTTGCAACTCCTGCAAACACATTATAAATACAGTTGCAAATATGCCAATATATTCATGTTTATTTAACAAAATATGATATGAATACCACAGAGCAATTATGCTCTATTTGTGTTTTGCTATAAAATCTCAGGAACAGGACCAACCATTTTTGTGAAGCTTTCTATTGATGTTGAGAGGAATGTCACATCAATCGTGCCATTTCAAAAGGACTGCTCCACTGGGGAATCCAAACTACTTCTTAAAATAATGTGCCCACTGGAACGAAGTGAGCAGGGTTTCCCAATTCCTTCTCTATGGGAGCTAGGCATACAGTAAGGCCTAAAGAAGGAGACTGTGGGATTGGAAGCAGAGTAGAGAAAGCAGTGTGAGCTTCTTCTGCAGCAGGTACAGTACACTTCTCTAAACAGAACAAAACCACCATTTCAGAACATTGTCAGTATTTTGTGAAATACCGGAAGAGAAAGAGAAATGACAATACTGTCTTGACCAGTGTTGTGTTACTCTCGTGTGTGATAATTCAGCACAAGCACAGTACATCTTCATGGTACACTGCATCCTCCACAAGAGGCTTACAAGATATATTGTGCAGTGCAATCTGAATTCAGTTTACATAATTAGAGATTCAGGTGCTGAACCAACAGGGACATCACAAATAAACAACGCTCAGTGGGCACAATTCATTCTTAGTGATTTACCCGACTGAACGTCAAAGACAGAAAGAAAAGAGGTTAAATAAAGGGGAAGGGGGAAAAAAGAGTCAACTGGATTATGGAAAATTCTGCAAGAGAGGCTAATTTTAGAAACACTTGATGGTAAAGTCACTAGGCACTGATCCAAAGTCACAACAACTCTGCCAACGAGACGACAAAGTGTTCTATTCCTCTCCTCCATTCTTTGACTATTTTTCTCTCTCTTTCTCAGAAACAATGAAAGAATTATACAGTGCTAAATACAATTTAAAGCACACAGAATATAATTTCAAACTTTAAAACCCATTAAAAATGTTAACTATGAAAATGTGTACGCCAATATTAGAGGTTTAATAACAGAAATGTGAAGAAAAAAAACACTTTGTTTACTTTCCTTTTGAGGTGGTTGTGGTGGAACCGAACAGTTCATATTATATACAAAAGTTACACAAAAAAAAGGACTAAGTTCTGACTAAGTTAATTAAGAATGAACAACGTAGTTATTTTAGTTAGTGTTAATTTCAACATTTACAATACATTTTTAAAATCAAAAGTTGCATGAACGGACATGAACAATCTTGAAGATGACATGAAGTATTCATGTATTTTGACATGTAACATGAAGAACTGTATTTTTATTAAGTAACATTAACAAAGACTAATAAATGTTTAAAATATTTATCAATGCTCACTGTTAGTTCATGTTAGTCAATATACATTAACCATAACCAATGTTAACAAATGAGACCTCGTTGTAAAGTGTTACCAAGATCATATTTCAGGATAATCTTATTAATATTCATGAGCTATGTGCAATAATATATATATATCCTCTCTCTCTATATATATATATATAAATATAAATGACTAAATATTTATGTCATATTTCAGCTTACACACAACAAAACGCACAGAAAGTAGAATCTGTAATAAAATCATTTAGTAATAATTGTTTCATTTGTACTATCGGCAGGCACATAAATATGTGAGCACAGACTTGAATTAGCACAAGATCAATGAGCCAGGACATTGAATTAACTAAACCAGCTCAGCCAACATTCACACACACACACACACCAAATACACGGACAGTTATAGAATTACAAGACACACACATGCTACACAGCGTCCTTCAAACAGGACTCGGGGTGTAAAACATTAGTTTAAGGAAATGACAGGAGCAATAATCAGACAGGTGGATGTTAGTGCTGACGGCGCTGTCCTAAAGGTCACAGTGTACTCACACACTCAGACTAATCAACATGCTGTTAGTGTCAAATACAACAGTCAAATACCTTGGTTAATTTATAAAAAGAATAGTATCAACTTAAGGTGTTTGAGCCATGTTCATGTTTAGCCACAGACACACCTGTGATTTGGATATGGCTGCATATGAATTCTAGATTAATGTTCCAAGATGCTACAATCTGCAAGCACTGGGGATGCACAATATATCAGCCATCATATCGGTATTGGCCGATATATGTTAATTTGAATTTTTAATGTCATCGCTATCGACCGATACGAAAATTTGGTCGATATATTATTAATAAGCTGATAAATAATTGATTATTTCCTACAGCTGAGACACTTCAGATGTGCGCTGTTCGCCATGATAGATTTGAATTTCTTTAAATTTGACCGAAATCACTTAAAAAGGAAAATACAGTTAAAGGGATAGTTCACTTTGAAATTAATTTTTGGTATGTTTTAGCTTACCTCAAGGGCATCCAAGATGTAGGTGTCTTTGTTTCCGCAGTAGTTTCAATTTTGATATTTTTAGGTCAAACCGTTCTTGTCTGTCAGTCATATAATGCAGGTCTATGGTAACTTCCTCAAAGAGCATGCACAGAGAAGTCCAAGTTAAACATGATTTAATGACTCGTAAATGTAAGTACACATTGATGGCCTAAGACACGAAATGAGCGGTTTGTGTGAGAAAACGAACAGTATTTATATCGTTTTTACCTCTTGTAACCACAGCCACGTCCAAGTGATCTGAGGGCGCGGGCGCTTCGGTCTGCGCAAGCGCTGGAAAGCGCCGGAAGTGATCTCTCTGAAAAAATTCTACGTTGTCTGTTGATATATCGAAATCGTCTTCCATTGCGATCTCCTGTATATCTAAATATGTTTAGATCTTCACAGTGAAAGGTAACACTTCCGAAATCTCTGTGTAAACAATGAGTGACGTACACGCGCAAGAGATCACTTCCGGCGCTTGTGCAGACCGAAGCGCCCGCGCCCTCAGATCACTTGGACGTGGCTGTGGTTACAAGAGGTAAAAACGATATAAATACTGTTCGTTTTCTCACACAAACCGCTCATTTAAAAAAAGTTGTTAAATTATGATTATCATTACTGATAATTATTATTTAACGTTCATGCATTGCATTTCTTTTTTTATAGACATCAAAATGTAAGCTTCCCATGCAGGGATTGTGACCAAGATTATCAGTGAATAATGGCATGAGGATAAAAAAAAAACACCATGAGGATAATGAGTATATAATGACAGAACTTTCAGTTTTTTGGTGGACTATCCAAAATGCAAAAGCTTTTGTCTAATCATTCTGCTTCTTTTTAGACAGCTGAGCATTTATGTTCAGGGTCATTGTATTAAACAACGGTGTTACTGTTTCACTACATCCACACAAATTCACAACTGGTATACTACTGGCAATGCAATGCATAGCCACCAAATGCATTATTCACTTTCGTCTGTCAGTGTATTTGAGAGTGTTTAGTGTTTGCATGTTTGAGTATGTTTGTGTCATCCTGCTCTTTATAGAGCCCAGTGTAATCTTTTTGATTTGCTGGATTGACCCCACTTAATTCAATGGAACAGAATTGCTGTGACAGCAGCACTGAATGGATTTTCAATGCACTGCACCTGCACTAATAAGTTTAAGGATAACCTCCTTCCTTCAGGAAAGAGAGACCGAAAAAGACAGAGAGAGAGAGAGCGACAGCGGGACAAGACAAATTAGCTCACAAGTCACTAACACACTTTACATAAACAAGGGTAACACATGCTTCAAAGAGAAACAATCAAATGTATCCATGCAAAGACACACTCACACATACACTGGTCAACATACACTTCTAGAGGCTAGGACATAAATTCTGATGTAAAGGCAAACACAGTTCTCTCAATCTGAATATGTGGCCTATACTGCAGCAGAGCTCTGGATCAATGTGTGCTTTTAACGGCCTGTCTGCATAGGGTCTGGCCTGGGAGAGGACAATGTATGCTTCTAGCACACCCGTCCCGCATATAGTCTGTAAATGAGAAAGCGACAGACAGCCAAATACAACAGCCGAGTTGAGCACAGGCAATACAATCTGAACACAAAAACATGTGATGTGTCATAGTAGCCTATATACGATGTCATACCCCAATCACAACTCCAATGTGATATATTACCATATATACAGTAACAGTAATATTTTTATTAGCACCTCACAGACTCGAATATGGCACACAGGTTGGGCTGTCACGATCATGAAATGACGATTAATTGTCTGAAAAATAATTGTGATTATGCAGATTAATTGTCAGTTTTAGGGCTTTGTCATACATTTTTGTGTGCTTCATTCATTAAATAATTGTGATGAATTTAATCCTTTGTAAATTATTATTTTGCAGTGTAAGATTACAATTAACACCTTTACATATTAAAGTAATTATTCAATTCAGTAAATAACTTCAACAATCACAACAAACTGGCCGATCACAGAAAAGGCCATAAATGTATCATTCATACATACATACACACACATATGTGTGTGTGTATATATCCCATGCCAGAAACATAATAATCACTGCAATGATGATCTAATCACAGACTCTTAAGTACTTGCCTATTTAAATCCAAACAGCGACTTTTTTTTGGTATGTGTGTGTGTATTCTTAAATAGGTGTATTATAATTAGTAATGAATTCTTGTTTTATATATATATATATATATATATATACACACACATACGCACATATATATTAACATAAGTAATAACTAATTATAATACATCTTATAGGTCGATAGTTAGTAGCCTATATGTAAACAAATGAGCAGTCTATAATCAATAATTAAATCAATTAAACGTCACAGAAGCTGAGCCCATACTTTCCAGCAGGTGAAAATCCACTGCGAATGTATCATTCATGCTGTTTGAAACGCTCTGAGAGTCTGTGCAACTGCACTTTGGCATTCAGTTGGTGTTAAGCAGGAGTTTATTCGCATGATTGACAGCCCCTCAATCG